GAAGGGATGCCCACACATCACGCCGGTGCTCGAGGCGGAGCGAGGGTCAGTCCCTGTTCCCACCCCGCGGCCGTTCGCGCTCTCTGCAGAGGCCCCCTGAGGTCTGTATTAGTTCCCGAGCGCTGAGGGCGGGGTGCGTGGCCCCCTCCCTCCCTTTGCCGCTGCAGTGCTACCCTGGGCAGTAATGTCATCCCCGACACCGGCGTCTTCTGGGGGGCCCTACGGTGTATGTTCAGCCGCCTGGCAGGGAGGATCACAAACACGCAGTACGGGGGCTACAGCATTCACATTAACGGCCGGCAGGCTGTTGGAGAAGCGGTGGTGCCCGGCTCCCCGCTATGGCAGAGCCGTGGCCGGGCCGCAGCACGCACAGGCTGCCAAGTCTCCCGGTAACTCCAGCGCCACACCGCCTGCTCCCCTTCGCCACCACGGCCCCGCTCCGCTGGGCTTGCACGGCGAGGTTTTGTAGTGAGGGAGTGTCGCTGTAGAGACGGACAAAGCGACACACAACACACTCACATGGGTGAACAAGCGGCTGGGGTTTTTATTACTAAAAGCGTGCAGGTTTATATATTTCAGGTGTCAGAGTGTTACAATATAATTGGTCAAAAAGTTGGTTTTAACATTCTCATTGGGTAACCTGCTTGCTGTGTAGTCATCAGTCCCTTGAAAGTTACTTGCTTTAAGCAAAGCTTCTTTCTCAAGGGTACACTGGAATCTCGTCAAGGTCAAACTCTTCTTCAGTCAGGTTATCAGCAGACCGACAATTCCCACTTTTTTTATTTGTGCTAAAAATATTGCAAGAACAGTTTTTTGCAGGGCCCTTTGCAAGAAACTGACAAAGCAAGGCAACATCAATAACACAACCACAGCTAGCAAAATAATTAGTCCCACAGTCTTGACCAAAGATATTAACCATCCAGATAGTCTGCAGCCTTTGAACATTTTTGTTAACTAAATCTAGATTATCATGCACCCATAAATGTTCTACTCCTTCTTTTAGCTGCTGTATGCTTTTATGGATTGACTCGGAGTGATCCGATAAATGCATACAACACATTCCTTCAAAATCTTTGCACCCATGCCCTTGTGCTAAAAGCAAAAAAATTATGGCAGCTTTATTCTACAAAGTAGCATGTCTAACACTATCTACATCATGTCTAACACTATCTACCCACTAAGTGCCAGTGATGTAGCCCTGTCCTGTCTACTCAGCCAACACCCCAAATCAGACGATTTCTTTAGCGCAGCTGAGCAGCGACTCCTGGTGCAAAAAAGGAGGATGCGATAATTTGACCTGGATTCCAAAATGTTACTTTGTCATCACAGTTCTCAGCAAATTGATGTGTATTCCTTATATGTCACAATTTTTTGTGTATCATTGTAATACTAGGTGTTAGCAAAGTAAGAGGACCAAGGCTACATGGGCCGCCATTAAGTTTTGATGGCAGTCGTCCCCAGGCTCTAACCCCATATATTAAGAATATTCCAGGGGGTAGAGCAATGGGAACACCAAATGACTGAGATACGTTCAGATTGGTATAGGCACACCAAGACATTGCATTGCGATGAATCGGTAAAGTGGCACTTACATTCTGTCCTTTACATTTTGTACTACTTTTTTTTACTACTATAATTAAAAAACAGGCAGGCATCCATGATTACTGATCCTAGTAGTTCCAGTTCTTGTGTTTCCTGTACCACTTGAGGGAAGTGAGCATACACCAAATCCCAATTGTCCATACAGCTTTTTGGAGAGTTGCAGAGATCCACGTTGCACAGTGGGTTCTGCATTGTGTCTACTGGCAATCCCACCAAGCACGTGGAGAATGGGTTTTCAGGGCTCACAGTAGAGAGACACAAAGTTTCCTGATGTGTCATGTTTGCCAGAGTTACCCAGACATTCTGCTTGGGTTGTGGAATTACCCATTCTTCACCAAGATGTTGGTTCCAGCACAGGCTGAACACACTGAGCAGGAACCCAGCGAGGGCTGGCATCTGCAGAGACACAAGCATAACTGCGACAGGCAGAGGAAACAAGCAGCCGATTCAATGTGAATGACAGAGCAAGCTTCAACTTAATTGAAAGAAATCACACCTTATATAAGCACTCTACAATAATCATACATACTACTCACAAATCTATTGGATACAGGTAAAAGGCTACATTATAATATCCCAGCCCCTTGTGGCATCTCAGGCATGTCACAACATCTTCCTTCTTCTGGCCTGCTTCTTTCCCAGGGCTGTTTTTCTATCACCCCCAAGGTCATAATGTACCTCAGTTTCTCTCTTTGTTAACATAACAGTCCTTTGTTAGCATAACTGTACCCTGGGTTTTTTCCTTTGTTTACCTCAGGTGGCTGTGACCAGCTCCTGCAGGGAGATATGGCCTTGCTCTCTGCAAGCCGTTCTCCAACACATAACCCCTATCCCAGGTTAATAATTCACACAGTCCACTCCATTGGCCAGTAACCAAATCTTTAGTATGTACTTTGACACCCTTTTGCAAATCCTGTTTGGAAAAAAGAGAGGAAAAATGTTGAAAAAGAGGAGGTAGAGAATAATTATCCCCATAATGGAGAAAGTTAAGAACATAAACTGTTTTATCTAAACAGGCCTGGGGTGATTCCCCAGTCATTCCCCCTTTTTGTTTTTGAAGCTGTCACTTCAATGTGCCATGTGCACATTCAACAATTGCTTGCCCTGTTGGGGAACGGGGAATACCCCTAATATGAGTAACACCCCACAAATTGAAAAACATTATAACTTTCTTCGAAACATATGATGGGCCATTGTCTATTTTGATTTGGTGTGGCACCCCAAGCATAGAAAAGGCCTTCTGCAAATGTCGAACCACATCTTTTCTAGTTACCCCATTATGTGCTGTTGCTACCAAGGCACGAGAATAAGTATCAATAGAAACATGAACATATTTCTGTCAGTGAAATTCATCTATATGAGGAACATCAGTTTGCCAAATTTGTAGAGCCTGCATACCTCTGGGGTTGGTACCGAAATACACTGGAGTGTGAGTTCCTTGACAATCAGGACAGGCAGCTACTATAGGGCAAGCTTCAGTGTGAGATAGACCGAACTGCTGTCGTAAAGCTTGAAAGCCTTGATGAAAAAATGGATGAGATAATACAGCTTGTTGCTTCATGTTAGGAATAGGACCCAGACCCATAGCAGAAACAAGAGCGTCTGCTCTAGCATTGCCTTCCATGTAAAACCCTGGTAAAGTAGTATGACTATGGACATGTGTGACAAAATAAGGTTATTCCAGAGTTCCAAAAGCACATCAAATAATAATTGATTGTCTGAGTCAGGACTACTTTATCCAATCAAGTAACCAAGTTGGCTACATATGCTGAATCAGTTACAATATTCACAGAAGTAAAAATAGAGAAGGCAACAGCCATGGCACATAACTCCACTACCTGTGGGGAACCTTTCTGATGTACTACCTTGTTTTTCCAATCATGGTTTTCATACCATACTACTGCTGCCTTACTTGTTTTTCCTGAGCCATCTGTAAAAAAGTGAGGCCTTTCACAGGTTCTGGTTGGCTTACATTTTTCTGACCAAATGGTACTTCCTGAGCAAATTTCAGCAGTGGGTGTGATGGCAGGTGATATGATATCTGATCTTGAAAACCTGCCATGGCTGCCTGCATTTTAATTATTTGCCAGGCACCATTCAAAATACCAGTTTTGCGCAGGTAAAACAACAGTAGCCAGATCATGCCCTGTTAGTTCTAAACATCACTTTCTCGTTTCTATGATTACGTCAGAAATAAGTTCAAACAGTCCAGGAGCAGTTTTTTGTGGCTGGAATGACGGAAACATCCATTCTAGAATATGTAATGGGTCATCCCATTCAGGGTTCCATTGTACTAGAGCACCAAATGGTACAGTTTTGTCGATTAGTACAAAGAACTGTACTACCTGAGACAGATCTATTTGAGAGACAAATTTCTCAGGTATAGATTGTTCTACCATATGAATTACACTTAATGCTTCCTTGTTTAGTATTCCGGGTTCTGCTGGATCATTAGAATGTTTTAGTAACTCCAATAATGGTTGCAACTGAGCCAATACTCTGTCCAAGATAGGGCCTTATCCAAATTAAGGATCCCATCAGTTCCTGTACATCATTGAGAGTTTTAATTTCAAGGTTGAATTTCACAGATTGGGGCATAACCTGCTTGCTTGTAACTGTCATTCCCAGATATTTCCATAGTTACACCTTTTTTACCTTTTCAGAAGCAACAACCAATCCATATTGTTGCAACAACTCTCTGGCTAAATGCTCCATGCTGTTCAACTGCTCCTTGCTGTCTGCTGCTAACAGGATGTCATCCATATAATGGTACCAATAGCTAGCAGGGAACTTGTTGGAGAACGGCTTGCAGAGAGCAAGGCCATGGGTCTCTGCAGGAGCTGATTGCAGCCATCTGAGGTAACAAAGGAAAAAACCCAAGGTATAGTTATGCTAACAAAGGACTGTTATGTTAACAAAGACAGAAACTGAGGTACACAACGGCCTTGAGTATGATGGTAAACATCCTGGGGAAAGAAGGCAGGCCAGAAGAGGGAAGATGTTGTGACATACCTGAAATGCCACAAGGGGTTGGGATATTATAATGTAGCCTTTTACCTGTATCCAATAGATTTGTGAGTAGTATGTATGATTACTGTAGAGTGCTTATATAAGGTGTGATTTCTTTCAATTAAGTTGAAGCTTGCTCTATCATTCACATTGAATCAGCTGCATGCTTCCTCCGTCCGCCGCAGGAACTTTTCTCTCACAGGTGACAAAGAATGGGCTACAAACCATCGACAAATTGTTGGTGAATTTTTCATGCCTTGTGGCAAAACTTTCCAATGGTACCTTTTCAAAGGTTCTGCATGATTTAGAGAAGGCACAGAGAATGCAAATTAGTCTTTATCTTGGGATGCCAATAGGATAGTAAAGAAGCAGTCCTTCAAATCCATCACAATGATTTCCCAATCCATAGGAATCATGGCAGGTGAGGTAGTAGAGTTCCCACTGTGGTCATAACAGCATTTATTTCCATAGGTCATGCAAAACCTGCCATTTTCCTAATTTCTTTTTCATTACAAACACTGGAGTATTCCATGGGCTGTGAGAAGGCTCGGTACATCCAGCAGCTAGCTGTTCCATCACCAACTCCTGCAGGGCCTTTAATTTCTCTGTAGGCAAGGGCCACTGATCTACCCACACAGGGTCACTTGTTAGCCAGGTTAATGCAAGTGTGGGTTGCTCTGTGCCCTGCAGCACAGTGGCCCCTGTCAAAAATCCATAGTAATCTTCACTCCCCACTGTGACAAACAGTCCCTCCCCCATAGGTTATGGGGGGCTGTTGTCACATAGGGCTTGACGGTCGCCTGTTGACCCTCAGGATTGGTGATCAGAACAGGCGTAGCTGCTACCCCTCCTTGTGTTGACCCTCCCAGTCCTACCACTCCCATTCCCGTGTTTGCAATTGGCCAGGTGGGTGGCCACGAGTACTGAGATATAACAGTGAACGTCAGCTCCTGTGTCCAGAGACCCGTAAGTTTTACTGCTGTCGGCGAGTGCCCTCTGCTGGATAGTGTACAGGCCATCTGCGGTCTTGGTGATGAGACAGTCTGTGACCAGACCACCTCCGGGGGTCCTGTGGAACCAAATCCTCCGTCATGTCGCTCCTGACGTTCTGTTTTGGGAACACAGCTCAAAAATGGTATAAGTTGAGCAATTCGAGTTCCTTTGGGAATGGTTACAGGTGGATAGGGAGTAGAAATCATAGCACAAATTTGCCCAGTATAATCAGCATCGATAATTCCCACATGCACAATCAATCCATTTAAAGTACTGCTAGACCTCCCGATCAATAAGGCACTCAACCCTCGCCCTATAGGTCCTTTTGCATCTAACGATATTTTAACGACGTCTGTCGTTGAAATGGTTACTGTGTCGGCAGCGGATACAGCCATGCCTGCTGATCCAGTGGCAGAAGGGTAGGTGACCTGGGTAGCTCTCAGGAAAGGGTTGCTGGAGGGAATTTGTGCCTTCGTGCGCCCTCTCGCGCTCTTCTTGCCGTTTCCCTGAAGAGATTGTCCGCCGACATGAAATTTGGACCGGCAGTGTTTGGCAAAGTGCCCTATTTTTCCACAGCAGCTGGAGGTTACTCCTGCGGAATTGCTGGCAGAGTTTCTTGGATTTTTTTGTTTGGCAGGACAATCTGCTTTAACCTGTCCCTCCTGCCCACATCCAAAGCCCTTGGGAGCGGATTTAGCCTTCATGGCCGTAGCTAGTACAGCCACTTTATGCTCCACAGTGCCAACTTTAGAGCAGGCAGCAACCATATCAGGTACAGAGGGCTCTCCAGGCATAGCTTCAATAATTTTTTGGCAGTCTACATTGGCATTATCTTTTGCCAATTGCTTACACAATATCTGCCGCAGTCCATCATCGTCTACTTGTTTTTCTAAAGTGGCAGAAATTTTTTCAACAAACTGCAAAAACGGTTCTCTGGGTCCCTGCTGGATAGCAACATATTTCTGCTTCGGGGCCACTAACTCCATGGTTCTTTTTAAGGCATTAATTCCTGTTTGTTGGGATTGTTCTAAAATAAGGGGGTGCCATGACACCTGTAATTGAGGATTACTAAACAGTCCTTCTCCTAGTAAAGCATCTTCACCAATGCCAAGCCGTGGATCGCCCTGCGGCAGTCCCCTGTTATTATTTGCAGTGGCTCGAGCCATTTGCCTCCAGGTAGACTGAAAGACCACAAGCTGTATAGGCTGAAATAACACTTGTGCAAGATGAGTAATATCATAAGGACATAACAAGTTGGTACTGATGATTCTAATTAACTGCATAACCTCAGGGGAGTTAATACCAAACTTTGCTGATTTTGTTTGTAAATCTTGCACCAACTTCCACAAGATGGGGCTGTGTTCGTCCTGTTCGTTAGTGCCAGCCACTGCCTTATAAACAGGAACTGCTCCTGGGGCACTGGTACCATTGCAAGTTTGCAGACGACATGGGGCGAGTTTTTCAACCAGATCCCAGTTTCCTACTTCGGCCGCTTGCTTTCTAACCTGCGCCCAGAACCGACTGGGATGACGAGGCTTAACAGTCACAGTAGCAGGGGGCAAAGTCCACAGGAGGGTGGATTTGCTGACACAGTCAGGGTCTCCGATCTGTAACGTTCTAATTGCATTTTTTACTGCGCCTGCTCCTCCCTCCTCCTCTTCATCCTCATCACTACTGTCCCCCAGGGAAGGCAAAGGGATCTGAGAGGGATTCACTGCTGATTCTATTTCTGTCTCTTCCTCTGCGAGGGGTGCAGTAGGTTCTATAAGGTTAGAGCTTTGTTTCATCATCTGTAACTGCTGACTAGGCATTTGATGTTGACTAGGTGGAGGTGCTCGTGAATGACATTTGACAGACCCTGCAGAGGGGTTTTTGCGCACTACAGAAGACAGAAATGAACAGTCTTTAACTTGAGCAGACTGCCTCGAGCTTTTGTCCTTATCATTTGCCAAAGAAACATGCATATGAGTGACGGAAGAGGAGTGAGGTAACTGGAACTCCTCTTTTCCCACAGAGGGGGCACTGGGTACAGTAGGTTTGCCTTTATTAGCAAATTCTTCTAGCTGCTGAGCAGGGATTTTATAATTGAACCGATGGGAATAGTTTTTTGGTGACTTCCAGGTGTTCACAACTTTAATCTGATCAGCAGGTGATGGGTAACTAGAGGATTTGTTTAGTTTCTTATTTAGATCTTTAGATGAAGTATTAGACAAATTAGGCTCCGCAGGGAGCTGTAACACTCCCATTTTCTCTGTTACAGTTTCCATGTCACGGTGTTTATCAGAGCATTTTTCCTTATCAGAGCATTTTTTCTTTGTCTCAGCAGTTGCTGCCTCTAGTTCCCTTTCCTTACTGTCCGGCTCTGCTTTCCATTCTTTTAAAGTCTCACTCAGCAGCGACCAAGTAGTAGCCAATTCTGATGCATCTTTTGACCCTTTAGAAATTGCATCCCATAATTTTTGCCCTACTTCTTGCCACGCTGTTACACTAAACGCCGTGGCAGCTGTTACTTCAAGTCCTTGCATTTTACTCCAAATGAGCATTTGCTTTAGCCGGTATTCATTAGTCTTAACACCTTTACAGCTAAGTAATGCTTTCCATATGGACAGTATTGTTTCGTCTTCTTTCGTTAAATGCTGTCCCATGGCTATGGTCGCGATCCCGGTGGCTCACCTTAAGAGGTGTAAAAGTTCAGGTCCGGACCAAGCAGATTCCCACTGCTCTCAGCTTCACCGAGCTCCGTCCCGCTGCAGCCGTCCTGCAGCCCACCTTTGCTAAATCGCAAATCCCGAATCACATCCTTGTCAAATCGCCATCTCGCCCTTGTTGCACGTCGTTGTTTCTCGTCAGGGTCACCAGATGTCGCTGTAGAGACGGACAAAGCGACACACACCCCCCCACATGGATGAACAAGCGGCTAGGGTTTTTTATTACTAAAAGCGTGCGGTTTTATATATTTCAGGTGCCAGAGTGTCACAATATAATTGGTCAAAAAGTTGTTTTTAACATTCTCATTGGATAACCTTTATCAGTTTCCTCCCTGCTTTCTTCATCCTGCTGTGTAGTCAGCAGCTCCTTGAAAGTTATTTGCTTTAAGCATAGCTTCCTTATCTCAAGGGTACACCAGAATCTCGTCAAGGTCAAACTCTTCTTCAATCAGGTTGTTGGCAGACCAGCTGCCTTCCCCGAAAAATCCTTTTTGATCCTGAACACTTTATTATCTCTTTCTGTTATAAATTGCTACTTTCTAATCTCTAAATCTTCTTTTGTATGAGTATTTGAAACTTTTTATTCAGCTTAATCATCAGAAAAATTGTGGTAGAATATCTGGTTCCTCCTTCCACTTGTTTGGTGTTGCTCTGGAAGGACAGTGAAGATAAAAAGTCACCTGGGACTTGTAGCACACAGAAGACTACAGGAGGAGCGTGGTTGTAGCACTCTGTTTTTTGGTAATCCTCAATCAACAGAGTGACAGTGCAAAGCTTTACCCCCTTACTGGAAATCAAGAGGTATGCAAAGCTGCTGGAAATTTCACCCGGTGTTCAGCTGACATCTCTACAGCCCCTGGACAAAAGCAGGAAAGAGAAACAACATTCGCATAGATTTGGGTTTAATTTAAAAATTCAGACTTCAATATTACTTTTGATTCACACTGCACAACTGTCTCACAACTGCAGTATAATTTCTCTGTTTACTACAGTATATTTACTTGAGGCTTCTGTGAGAAAGTAAAAACCCCCGGGTCTACTCAAACCCCATGA